AGACATGCAGTTCGTAGTCGAGCAGCAGATAGTGTGGGCTTCAATTTAGCTGTGCTATGGGATCTGTTCTAAAAGGCTTTTACGGAATGATGGATCATTACATTCTCTGGAAACGTGGTGAGAGAAGCCAGTGTCCAATGCGCGTCCTAATCTACTCTATCATAATGTATCGTTGTCCTCGACGGTTTTTTTCTGAATGGGGCGTTCTGTGCGCGGGTGCTCTCGGACAGAGGGATCGCGGCAGGCAGTGGCCCAGCGACGTGCGAGGCGAAAGCTTCTCTCCTTCCCAGCATTGATGAGGTGATAGATATCCCCAGATTGCATGAATAGCTTGCACGCTGATGACCTCGCTCTTTCTTGTTCGGGCCCTTCCATGGCACCAGCGCTGGAGAACCTGGCCTCGCATGCATTCTGGATGGAGGAGGAGCTTGGCGAGGTCATACTTAAGCTGATTCCGCCAATGGTTCATAGTAGGTATTTGTGCTGCTATTCTGGACAAAGCTATAGCACTGCTGCAAGAGCTCGCTGGCGCAGATGTTTGGCCAGCGACAAATCTTGGCATCGATTGCCGGGCTGGCGAGAATTCCAGTCAAGGCAAAGTTAGAGCCGTTCGCAAACGTCAACTTCTCGCGCTCGCGGCCAAAGCGAAGCAGCTTCACCGCGTGAAGGGCGCCGCGGTAAAGCAAATGCAAGGAAGATTCTTCTCATGTGGAATCCGGTCCACAATTCACTACGGCGCGGCCGCAACAGGATTCGCCCCAGGTGAGATCCGCATGTCAAGGGCCCTTCAGGCTAAATCCCCACCTTCGTATCAGAAGCGGGCGCAGTCGGACATTTGGTGGGCCACTCTTAGCCTTGTCGAGAAGGGTCCAGTGCAGCTGGTGGCAGCTGGGTTTGAACGTTATGCCGTGGAATGGTGGAACACGACAGCGCCGCGTTACAGTCAGAACTTGCATGCCGGCGCTTTGTCGCCAAAGGAGTTGAATGCAGCTTTCAGGGCGGCCAAGGCCCATCTCAGAAACGCGGAAGCCAACGCGTGGCTCGGGCAAACGACGGGCCCTGTAAGCGTGAGTCTTAAATTGCTACGAGCAGGCAGCTGGCCAGTAGTTTCTCCCACCCACTTCGAAGACTCGCAGGGCAACCCATGCAGCTTGCTGCATGCCCCATCCACGTCTTGCGGGTCTGGCCTTTGTGGCGGACGCATTGAACGAGACGGCCCAGGAGCATGCCAGGTCCAAGCATCCAGATGACCATGCCATAGTCAACCAGGGGCTTTGGTGGGGACTTTTTTTTTCTCTTCAGAGAACTTTGACCAGGACAATATCAACGCGGCAAAATAGGCGATGCTGAGCAATAGTTTGGAGGATAGACAGTAGGACAACATCCTCAACAATGGGGTTACACTTCTTCAGGAGTCTGCCCGCGCTGTGGCCAGGAGGGCGCAATATACCATTGCATCTGGTTCAGTTTCTATGAGGAGCTCAGGCAGGAGGCGTTTTGGGACTTCGTAGCTGATGCAATGGCAGCAGGACCAGGACATCACCTCGTCCCGACCCTCCAGCAGTTGCAGACGACTGGTGCTTTCAGAATTTGGATATCCATGGGCCTTGTGATCCAGGTTTGTTTGCAGCAGATCAACCTGCCTCTATTGATGGAAGGGCTTCGGGCCCAACTTGGAAAGATCTCTCTCGGGCAGGCTGTGGGGCAGCGCAAATCGCAAACTCAGGCCAGCTTATACGAGCAGTGCGTTCCCTTCTTCCAGACTGGCTTCCTCAAAATTCCAGCAATGCTGAGCATGGCAGATTGGTGATGGCTCTGCAGTTTTCGGAGTATCCCACAGCTGCCCCGCTTCTCCTGGACTCAGGGCTCGTGGCGGGTCAGAATCCAGGTAGGGCCCCCCGTGGGCGCTGTAAGTTGGCTGCTTACTGGCGCGCGGTTGGCAGCCTCTTCCCACCTCCTGATTGGCCCCAGCCCAGGAAGGTCACGGCACATAGGAAGTTGGAGTAGGCAGTGGACGTGGAGGACACCTACCTCATCTTAGGCACTAGAGCAACTGACCGTCATGCAGGGCAAGCCGCATCATCACGTGCAGCGGGGCAGGACCAGGCAGAGGAATGGCAGGCTAGCGTGCGCATGTATGAGGGCCTCTTGGTTGGAATCGGTCTTCTATTCGACGCCCGGCCTGAGAGCGAGGCCCTCTACGACGACCTCGAGAAACCAGCTGTCCAGAGACAGCCAAGAAGATATGTCGTGCAGCGCGTCCCCGTGCGGCATGGGTCAGGATTCAGATGCGAGAACTTTTGTTTTGCAGCAGTGAAGCCAGGCACAAAGAAACTTTGCAGACAGCAGCCAGCAGCAATTAGGAATGTTCTAACACAGGCACGCACGCGACAATCTGTCCTGAACTTAGGCTGGATCGAAGGCAGTGGCGGCATACCGATTGTAGTGTGTACCCAGTGTGGTTGATTCACCACAGGGGCTAATCATCCCCCCAAGCTGCGTGGCCTCTGTCCGCGTAAAATTTCGTCGGGGCTCCGTAAGCTTTCGCAAGCAACGAGTGCCAGGAACCAATTTAACATTTCATAATGTCACCACGTTTTAGTGGTAGGGTTATCTCATGTTGGACATCAGGGCAAGGGCCGTAGCAGAAGCATCCAGGAGCGTACCCCAACGGCCCTTCCTCTGACAGTTTGGTATCAAGCTGCTGGCTGCTCTTATCTCGTTTCAGCTCCAGAAGTTGCCGTGTCGTCGCGTCCAACGGCCACCTACCTTGTCTGCGAGAACTACGCTCGCTGGGGAGGAGGAATGTTCGAGTCGCGCCTCTTCTCCAATCCCCGAAAGCTATGCAAGCGCGGGGGCAACTGGTACCGGGGCCCCGACGTTGAGTGGACGTTCAACGGCTACGACTACTCAGGGCACGGGGATCAGCAGCACCGCGCAGTAGCACCATTGCCACCAGCAGCAGCAGGAACAGCAGGGGGTGCTGGAGCAGTAGGTGTGAGCCAGCCCGTTGTGCAGGTGCCTCCAGCCCCTCCGCCTCCGCAGGCGCTGCCCATGGCCAGACCCCTTCAGCCCGTCTCCGATGGTGGCCAGATGGCCGCGAGCTCGTTGGTGACGAGCCCCCGCTCCCGCAGGGGCCCCTTCCGCCCCGTCTGAAGGGGGCCTCTTCTAAGGCCCCGTCTAAGACCTCCAGTGCTGCTGCGCAGCCCGAGGCTGCCCCCAAACGCCGCCCTGAGACCGCTGCGCTGAAGGCGCGGGTTGAGAGGTTGAAGCGCATCGTGGGCGCGCAGCGTGGCCCGCGCAAGGCAGCTCCTCGCAAGTCATGCGCCCTGTGGGGCCGCATCTCCAAGTATAAGTCGGAGTTGCGCTCCTTTGGTCAGGACGTGACTGACGACGCCGACGCCGACCGTGACTGATGACACCGATCTTGATGCGGGCATTTCACTGCGTAAGGGGAACTCTCAGTTGTCGGTGTCACCCTTTCCCCACTCCAGTTTAGGGCGCTGGTTGCGTCGAGTTGCAGTGGCCCTTTAAGGAGAGGCCTTGGGAAGATCATGTGGGATCTGAGGGTAGGGGGTAGCAGCAGGTGGATGCAGCAAGGGCCTCCCCCCCCCCTTCCCGCCCTTTTCCGCCCGAGTGGTGGCGGCGGCGCGATGCAGGAGCTGGGGGGGGGGGCGCCGTCTCTCTGTTCTTTTTTTATGTTCCCTCTCTCTCTCTCTCTCCTCTCTTCCTTCCTCCCCTCCCCTCTTCAGGTTCCTTGAGCTTGGCGGCCCATGACAGCCATGCGGCTCTTCTAGGTGGCGGCCGCTCGGACCTCTGGTTTCGCTGTGGGCGTGTGTGAGTCTGGCTCTCTGGGTCCTCGGAGCGCCGGGATGCCGAGGCTGCGCGCGTCGCGCGGGCCCCGGAGCGCGCGGACCACATAAGTGCTTCCAGGCAATCCTGTGGCGGTTGGGTCCTCGTTTTGAAGGGGCACCGCCTGGCGTCCTAACGCCTCCTCCCGCCTGCTTCTTCTCCCCCCGGTCTTCCGCCCCTGCCTCTGCCCTCTGCATGCCCTCATAGTGATTGCCTTTGATCGTCGTCATCGTCATCTTCATCAGCATTACCACCATCATCGTCGTCAGCAGCATCATCATCATGGGCAGCATCACCGCGCCACCCATTTCGGCACGCCCCTCGCATGTTTCTAGGCCCTACATGGAGGCCCACCGAAGGTCGCAGTGGCTGCGTTCGCATGCGTCCGCACCACCCATGTTGGCACCCCCCGCACTGTTCGTGGCCCTACAGGGAATTCCACCGAAGGTCACAGTGGCTGCGTTCGCATGCGTCCGCGCCACATCTTTCGGCACACGCCTCACATGTTTCGTGGCCCTGCAGGGAACTCCACCGCAGGTCCCAGTGGCTGCGTTTAGCCGTATTGGTGTCGTCTTGGTTATCTTGAAAGCCGTCTGGGGGGCCATCTTGACCGTCGGAACCCGAAGAAAGCGCGGGGGAACAATTTCAGGGGGGGCGGTTTTCGAGGGACGCGCTCGACGCAGAGGGGGTCGGCCCTAAACCACATTTAAACACATTCCCAAAACGACCACAGGAGCATTTAACACGCCCATTCTGCGCAGGCGCGGTGGTTGATTCAACATGATTTTGGCCTTCACGAGGGGGCCTGCCAGGGGTGCATATTCGGCCATCTTGCAGCGTCCTTGAAGTCACTGGCTCGCGCTCTTGGGCCTCCGTGGGGCTCCCTGGGAGCCCTTGCAGGGCTTTCCCTTCCTTGGAGGGTACAGGGACCCTGTTGGGGCTCTCTGGAGGTCTTCTCGGGGTCACGCGCTTGGGGCGCCAGACGGGTCCGCAGATCCCCCAGGGGCGCTTTCGCGCGCGCGGACCAGAAGAACAATCAGCTGTAGTCCACATTGCTTGAGCTATCTGCTTGGAGGACCTGACACGCCGTTGGCCCTTCGGGCCGACGAGCGGATCTGTCCAATCTCGTCGATCTCCTCGCCATGCCTTCAAGCACTACTTTTTCCAACCTCTTTTGTTCCTGCGGTGTACGCGCGGTCTTCCCCATTCGCTACGGGCGCTGCTGCAATGCCGGCGGCGACCACGATGTACCCGTTCACGTGCTGCGCCTTCCTGATCAGCTTTCCTGTCGCACTCGTCGCCAATCCTGGCATCGACGATGCGAGCCACAGACTCAGGAGCACTTCATTTCGTCTTGCGTCTTCTCCAACGTACATTCGTCATCACCAGCACCAGCATCCTGCCAAAGGGGGCAGGCTTAATGTTCAAGAGACAATTTGAGGCCAAAGCAGGAAGCAGGAACGAGGGGCGCGGTGGCGGTATGTGATAATCGATCATACCATATGTAGAAGGCGACTCAATGCTGCCATGGAGCAGCATGCCACATTTCGAGAGATGGGAGGGTCATTCGGGCAGCAGGGGGAGGGTCTTACGATGCACAGCCCAAGAGGGGCACCGTTTGTGATGGCACGCGTGTTGACCATGTGGACAGCCGTGTCGACGTTATTGCCACCACCACCCACGCAGGTCCTCAGGATGAGGTTATGAGCGCGACCGCAGCACAATCGATCAGTGTGGTAACAGAGAAATGCGGTTACCGATGCTCTTCGGACCTCTCCCAAGGTGCGCTCTGACCTTGGGTTCCGAGGCAGACCCAGCCGTGGCGATGAGGACCTTCCGGGAGGCCCAACAGAGGCGGGAACGAGGGAAGGGCACCAGTATCGGTGTGTCTTTCTCGTCGGAGCCCAAGCAATCGCCTTGCTTTCAGTGGCTGTTGCGGCGGCAGGGCAGAGGCATGGGACTATGCGACAAGGGATACAGATGGAGGCAGCGAAGAGCGATGCTGATCCACCAGCGTGACCGTGACCGCAGTGCGAGCGATCGACCAGCTTTGAGCAGCAGTCTGTGCAGTGACTTCGCTGCACCAGGAGTGACGCTTCACTTCGAGGGCAGGGCGATTAGTTCTTGTTCCCCAAACTGTGCGTGCACAAAGTGTTTTTATTCTCTTGCAAAGAAATCGCCCTGCGCTGCTGGGTTTTCGACCTGACCGCCCGTGCCACAAGGGGGTAGAGCGGCGCTCCACTTCGAAGGTTCGAGCGTTCTGTCGAACCCTCAGTATTTAAGAATAATGATTGTTGATCCCCCCACCAGGGTGTTGTGTTTCTTCAATTGACGTGCCCCCTCGGGGCTCGCATCCTGTTTTTTTGCTCCGGGAAAGCCTTCCTGCTCAAATTGCGCTGTTGCCCACCCGTCTACAGCAACAACGGCTCCCGCTTTCTACTTCCTCACAGATTATTGCAACATCGCGCTTTCGCACGGGAATTCCGTACAATATATGCAGGAGTCTCGCGCTCGCGTGGGTTTTCCTCGCAATTGATTCAGACGCCACGCCCTCGACACTCAGGAATCACTTTTTCACGATTTACTTGGGAATCGTGCTATCGCTCGAGACTTCCTCACGATCCATGCAGGACTCAAGCTTCAGCAACCCGCCTGCTCGACCTGGCCGCCTGAGCCCGCCTTCCCGACCCGCCCGCTAGGGTCTGCCCGCCCGATCTGCCCGTCTGGTTCTGCCACGTGTTTTCTGCTCTTAGCCCCCCTCCTGCTAATTTCTCTCGTGCTCCGTCCTTGTCCCTCCCCCTTCCATCCGTCCTCTCTTCGTCTGTTTTAGGGGCTGCGCTAAATGCACATGGCAGGCAAGTCAAATATACCCCCAATGCGGGCACGATCTGAGACGACGAGGACGTGTACCGAGGGTTTGGTATATTCTTGTTGAATCGCACGCGAGCAGATACGAGCGAACCTTCTTAAAATTATGTGTGTTGTTCCAGTTTTCCTCAAACATTGTTTGCACAAAGGGTACCTTCCATCTCTTCTAAGGGACTGGGCCTCCGGGTCGGTCTGGCGGCTATATTCTCGCCGTCGCCGCCCCGTCGCCGCCTCGTCGCCGCCCGTCCTCTAGGCCTGCGGGTCGTTCTGGCGGCTATGTCCACACCGTCGCCGCCCCGTCGCCGCCTCGTCGCCGCCGGTCGTTTGGGCTTGCGGGCCAGTCTGGCGGTTATGTTCTCACCGTCGCCGCCTAGTCGCCGCCCATCGTCAGGGCCTGCGGGTCGGCCTGGCGGCTATGTTCTCGCCGTAGAGGCCCCGTCGCACAGGTTGCACCGCAGAGGTAGCACCGCATATGTTCTCCTTTCCAAAACGAATATAGACCCCCCAGAATGAACGTACAATTTATATATGATCCTGCCCCATCCATCGTTTGAATTATGCATTCGCTTCATCCCACTTCAGCCCGTTATCAGCACCCCCTTATCTCTGTCAAATAATGTACGCGCGCTCGCTTCTCAAACGTCATCAATTTCCAAGAGCCGTTTTCAACACCTGGGACGAAGTGTGCACGCGGGCGTCGTCGCACGCGTTTGCCGCAATCTTTCAAAACCGTAGCTTTAGCTTGAATTTCAAATTTGAGTGCCCCGGAAACATACACAATCAACTCGTTTTTTGCATCATGAATGGTCAAACAAGTCTGCGCGCGCTCTTGCGATTTGTTTTCGGAACTATGTTTCAGCGTTTTCATCAAATTCGAGCAGGCGGGCCTGTCGCGCGCGCGTGTCGATCTAATTCGAACACCCTTGCGCGCGCGCTTTGGAGGGAGGGGGCAATCCTTTTCAAATAATAACATTCGGGCCATCGCCGACGCGTGGGCACCATCATTGTCATCGGCGTGATCCGCATCGGCGCCGTCATTGGCCTTGCCGTCGTCATCGTCGTCGTCGTCACCAGCATCGCTACAATCATCATCGCGCCTGCCTTTGTCGACGTCGCCCTGAGACCGCGCCCGCCCGAGTTACCGACTCGCACTGATGAGTCGCGCGTCGGCGCGGCCGGCGAGACGTGTTTGGAGGTCCCAGCGGTCAGCGCCACCGTGGCCGCGCTCGCATGTTTAACTCTCATCGCTGACGCGAGGACGTCGTCATCGTTATCGGCTGGCGTGATCAACATCGGCGCCGTCATCGGCCGTGCCGTCGTCATCGCCACCACCGTCACCGTCATCGCTACTCTCGTAATCGTGTCTACCGTTGTCGGCGTCGCCATGATGCCGCGCCCGCCCAAGGCACCGACTCGCACTAAGGTGCCCGCTGGGAAAGGCCCAGCGGTCAGCGCCAGCGCCACCGTGGCCGCATCGGTCGCGCCAAACTAGCTTGCCGCTGTACGCGCGAGCATGCGCGGGCTAGCGCGGCCGCAGAGACGCACCAACTTTGTCAATTGTTCTCACAATTCAATAGCACCGCATACATTCACAAATGTTGCACCACATATGTTGCCCCATATCGATTGCACAACACCTATTGCTTGAACGCAGTGTTTTTGGCCCACGTTGGCTAGCATTGGTTGTTTGTTCCCTGCAGCGATCTCGTGTCCAACTCGCGGGCAGCGCTTCGCTCGAGGCCTGTCAGCGCGTTGAGCTCACGACCATGGGGGGCAACGAGGATCGAGGGGAGGCATGAAGAGGAGGGAGTGTCGAAATCGAATTTTTCGAGCGCTTTTGGTCCGTTGGGCATCCGGAAGCCTTGTGGTCTCGAGAGGGCTCCAAAAAGTTCCGGCAGGAGGGGAAGGAGGGAGGAACCACCCAGAGTCCACCCACTCTCCCTCCTGTGTCTGTCCTTGAGGGCCCCATGGCAGCGCACCGCCACCAACTTAACCGTTCCCAGCTTGCCGGCAGAGATCCAGTGCTTGATTTGGCGCGGGCCTCAGTCAATTTGCCTTGTTATCAACATTTGCGTAGCATCCGGTTCGAACAGTTCTCTTCCTTCTCCGTCCCCACAACATGAATCAAGTTCCTCTCAAAGGTAAGTCTTTCCTAACTCTTGGTAATGTTCTTGATGCTGCCAGCGCTCCTCTTGGCTCTGCGCCCGGCGTGTGATGTAGCCCCTGCTCCGTTCCAGACTCAGTTGTCTTCCTCCTAGATGTCTCTCGCGATCCCACGCTTTTGTATTCTCTTCCTGCGACATTTTTTGTCCACTCGGAGTGAAAGGGAACATAGCTCTTGCACGTGCTACGCTTTTATACATTGTGGGGTCAGAAGACAACCGCACGCTGGGGATGGTGCATCCTCGATCCGTGCCCCTAACGTGCTGTAGCCTTGCTTCAATGCTTGCCTGCACTTCTGATCGTTTCCTGCTTGTTATGGGGTTCGTATAGGTATTGAAGATACCTTCGGTGAATCACCGCCGCCCCCTGACTTTGGCAACGCCCCTGCTGCCAAACGTTGGGCCGAAGTCTGGCCACGCTATTGGACGATGTGTTCCCCAGCCGTTATGGAACCCCGTGGGGGAACACCTATGAAAGAAGGATGAGCGGGAGGGGGAGGATGGGGGATGAGGAGGAGGAGGAGGAGGAGGAGGCCTCTTGAGGTCCTCTTGGGGCCTCCAAGGAGCTTCCTGGGGGCCTCTGAGGGACCTCTTGAGGACTTCTTGAGGGCCTCTGAGGGACCTCTTGGGGGCCTCCTAGGGCCGCTTGGGGGCCACTTGAGGGCTTCTCGGGGCCTCTGAGGGACCTCTTGGCCTTCGGAGGACGTCATGTGTCCCTCTTTGGGCGCTGTAGGGCCGTCTTTGAATTCTATGGGGCTGTCTGTCTTGGGGGCCTCTTGGGCCCTCTTGGGGTCCTCTTGGGCCGTCTCGCGGGCCTCTGGGAGGCCTCTTGGGCCGTCTTGAGAGGATCTTTTGGGCCTAGTTATGGGGCCGTCTAGGAGCGTCGGAAACCTGAAAAGGCGAGACCGCTAAAACCATTGAACCACTTCAGGAGAATCAATGACTTTGGCCTCCAGGACATCCTCTTGGAGCCCTCTTGGGGCGTCTTGGGGGCCTCTAGGCTGGCTGGAGGACATCTTGGGCCGTCTTGGGGCTATTCTGGCCGTCTTACAGGCGTCTCGCCACCGTCTTGGAGGCCATACTGGGCCTTCTTGGCCGTCTTGGAGGGATCTCGGGGGCCATCTTGGGCCATTGTGGCCGTTTTGATGTTATTTTGGCCGTCTTGTTTGTGATGGACTATCTGGTCGTTGTAGGTCTGTCTGGGTGGCCGGTGGGCTGGGCCAGGTGAACACGGGAATTGAAACAAACGACTAAACATTACAATATTCAAGATGCCAGTTACACCTTTTGACAAATCAATGGGGGGCGACGGATCGGAGACGCCCACGGCGATTCATCCCCGCCCGCTGCCTTTTGGGAAGGCCCATGCGGCCAAACGTTGGGCCGAAATCTGGCCAAGCTATGGTAACATGTGCTCCCCCAGCCGTTGTGGAAACCCCTTGGGGGAACACTTGGGGGAGGAAGAGAAGGATGCTACTAATGAAGAGAAGGAGATAAAGGAGGAGGGGGATGAGGAGGATGATGCTGATGATGATGATGATGAGGAGGAGGATGAGAAGGAGGAGGATGAAAATGATAATGAGGAGGAGAACCAGGATAAGGACTATAATAATACTAAGGTTAATAGATATGGATAATCATACGAATATCACCGTCCTCATTCACATTATTATCACCAACAGATAATAGTATCAATCGTATTATGATTAATACTGCTCGTAATCAAACTATGCATGATATTAAACATACGATCAATCATTACTAATAATGAGAAAATATGCATAACAATATTAAGAATCATATTAATAATAAGAATCAGACAAATAAAACGAAGAAGAGGAGGCCTCTCGAGGCTCTCTTCGGCCCTCCTGGGGGCTTATGGGAGCTATCTGGGGCCTCTGAGGGGCCTCCCAGGGGCCTCCTGGGGCTTCCTGTGGGCCTTTTGGGGACTTCTGGGGGACTCTAGGGGGCGTCTTGGCCTTCGGAGGCCGACTTGGGCCTCTTGGAACCCTCCTGGGGCGTCTTGGGGGCCTCTTGGCATTGACATATCTCGGGAGGGCACCTCGGGCTGTCTGGCCGTCTTGGCGGCGTCTGAGCGGCTGTCCTAGGCCCATCTTGGCCTTCTTGAAGGCCCTCTTGGCCGTCTTGGAGGTCACCTGGGGCCAGCCTGGCTGTCTCAGGGGCGCGCTTTGCTCCCTCCTCCCTCCTCCCTCCTCCCTCCTCCCTCCTTCCTCCTCCTCCTCCTCCCTCCTCCCTCCTCCCTCCTCCCTCCTCCCTCCTCCCTCCTCCCTCCTCCCTCCTTCCTCCTCCTCCTCCTCCTCCTCCTCCGCCTCCTCTGCTTCCCCCGCCTGCGCGCGTCCCTCCGGGCTCGCCAGCGCGAGCGGCCGAGCCCGCCCGCGTGGCCCAGCGCTGCGGCCAGAGTTGGGCCAGGTTGTCGGCGGGTTCGCGTCGCGTCGACGTGGCAGCGACCCCGCCGCGGGCGTTCAAGGTGGAACGCCGCCAGTGGCCCGGAGTCGGCCTACATGGGAGGATCGGGTGATCGGAAAGCCGCCCATCGTGCAAGGTTTGAACGATCGACGCGATGTCAGAAACCGACGCCGGGGTCATCACGACACGAACCTGCCGTATCGGACTGCCGTTTCCCCAGCCGTTGTGGAGACCATTCGGGGAGAACTTGGGGGAGGAATGAGACGAGGAGCGGGAGGAAAAAGAAGGAGGAGGTGGAGGAAGGATAGGCGGAGGAGGCCTCTTGGAATGCTCTTGGGGCACTCCTTGGGCCTCCCGGGAGCTTCCTGGGGGCCTCTGGGATGCTTCTTGGGGGCTTTCTTTGGCCTCTTGGGGGCCTCTGGAGGCTCTTTGGCCGTCTGAAAGCGTTCCTGGCTCGTTTGACGCCGTCGGAAACGGTCGTGAGGGCCTTTCTGAGCCAAGTTGGGGCCCTCTTGGGGCGCTTCAGGGCAGTCTTGGATGCCATCTTGAGCGTCTTGGAGGTCTCCAATCTTGAGGCCCTCTTGGGGCCATCTTGAGGGCCTCTTGGGCCGTCAGAGGGCCATCTCTGAGGCCTCCTGGGCGCTCTTGGGGCCATCTTGGTGGCCTCTGAGGCCCTCCTGGACCGTCGGGAAGCCGAACATCAGCCAACGCGCAAATCTTTGAACAACCCGCGTGCAATCACTGATTCGACCTCTGCAGGCTTTCCTGGAGGTCCTCTTGGAGGCCTCTGGGGCCGTCTTGGACGCCTCATGGGCTGTCTTGGGCGATCTTGATGCCATATTGGCTTATCTTGGGGCATCTCGGCCCGTCCTGAAGACACCTTGGGGCCATCTTGGGCTCTCTTGGGGCCATCTCTTGGCCGTCATGGAGGCTCTCTTGGTGCCGTCTGGAGCGGGAAGGCCGACGACCTGGACAGTTTGCGGGTCCTCGTGAAAGCGAGTTTTCTACCATTTCTCCTCCGTCATCGTCCTGGCGCGTCCTTTCGGGTGGCCAGCGGGGTGGGCCGAAGATGGCCGAAGGTCCACTCGACATTTTAAGTACATTTTATCTCCTTAGGGTGAAACGCTACCTTACATGTTATATCCTTCCTGCTTTTCTCCTTCCTGCTCTGTTGCCTCCCCTCTCGCTCGCCTTCCTTCTTTCCTCCTCGCCGCCTGTTTCCTCTCCCTGCTCTTGCTGCTGCTGTGCACGCGCGGCGCTTAGATTTTCGCATCTGGCTGCCCAGGCCTTCAGTATGCATCACGAGGCCTCGGGTTTGGACTGTGTTGCGTCGGGTAAATACGACCTTACATTTGGCACGCCGTGCACCCCTGTGGCAAACCACAGGGGGCAGCGGATCAAGTGACCTTCGGCCCATCTCACCACCGTGCCATATTTTTAGGTCAGCGTCATCCTGGATGCATGCGGGGGTCTCTTGGGATGTCTCTTGGAAGCCTCTGGGAGGCGTTTTTGGAAGTGTCTCGGGGCCTCTCGGGGGGGCCTCCTGGGGGCCTGATTTCGGCCTCTTGGTGGCCTCCTGGGGCTTCTGGGGGGCCTCGTGGGGGCCTGCTGGCGGTCTCGGGGGTCATCTTTGAGGCGGAGGGCCCGAAGTGTCAGTTTGAGTTCCTCCTCTCGGGGCCCTCTGCCGTCTGGGGACGCCTCGGGGGCCTTTTGGGTTGTCTTGGGGCCCTTGTGAGCCGTCTTGGGGCCCTCTTGGGGGCCCTCTTGGCTGTTTGGGGGCGATCTTGGGGGCCTCTTGGGCCATCTTGGAGCGTCGGACTCCCGCAAAGGTGAGAACGCGCTGACACTGTCAACCCTCATGGGAATCAACGGTTGTTGCCTCTCGGGGCCCTTTTAGGGGGTCTCCTGGAGCTCTCTTCGGGCGTTTTGGATGCCTTTTAAATGGGCCGTCTTCAGGTCAAATGGGCGTCTTGGACCGACCTTCGGGCGACTGGGGCCACCTTGGACCTTCTGGGGGGCTTCCTGGGGCTCTCTTCGCCTGTCTGGGGGTCCTCTTTTGGAAAAGCCACGCGGGGAACCCACGAGAGCACCCAGGAGCGCCCGGCCGCGCCAGGAACTTGAGTCTGCAAGCCCCTCGGAGAATATCTGGGGTACTAAATGCAGGGAACTCGAAGGGAACCTCAGGACACTCCACGTCGTGCTCCGAGGCACGGTGGCGGATAGCTACCCCCATATGCATTAACCTCCATGCCCCCTCGGCGTGTTTCGCAGATCGTTCAGCCGTGTCTGCCGCTTCGACGGGCGAAGACTTACTCTAGGTGCGCAGAGGTTTGAGTGGTACCCATGTTGGTGTTATCTTGCTTGTCTTTAGCGCTGAGTCTTTCACTTCTGGCTTGTGACCGCTCGGTTCGATGGAGCATGACGCCCACCAACATTCGGACGGGGTTAGGACGAGAATAAATCAGTTCCAGAGCGTTCCGGAACGCTTTCAGTGAGTTCTGGAACGCTCTGAGAAGGCCGCGGCGCTCGAGACATCTTCCAGAACCGCCGGATCTGAGAGGTTTTCGATCTATCCTCACCCGATTGTATCCTCGTCCTGGCTTCGTCTAAAACCTCGTCTCTTTCGCTTCATGTGCCTTATTTACCCGCGCGCCAGGCAGGGCGACGAGAACGGCTGCGGCGCGATCCGGAACAAGGAGCTTTGCCTGAGGAGGTGTCACATTTTTCTCACATCGCCTCTCATTCTGTCTTGCCCCATTTTCGCCTTGTTGGGCCTCCTGGGAGGCCCTCATCGCCACCGCTGGATTCGCCTCGAAATGCTGGGGGAGGTCCAGGGAGTAGCGGTATCGGTACACTTTGGTTTCCCCATAGTTGCGCTACCGCTCTAGTTTGTGACTGTACATCAGTATTTACGGCAGGGCGGCTTACACTGAAAGCATTCGCCATATATGTATATGTGTATATATAGATAGATCGGCGTACATACATTTATATATATATACGTACATACATACATACATACATACATACATCCATCTATATATATATATATATATATATGCTCACACACACCCAGCACTCCATCTCGAATGATTTTTGGCCTCCCGACTCTCCTGATCGTATCTTCTGTTCTCTCTGACAGCCGTTCTCCTTCTCCTTTTATACGTCCCGTGCGCTGCCTCCCCTTCCTCCTCCTCCTCCTCCTCGTCTCCTCCTCCTCCCTCCCTCCCTCCCTCCCTCCCTCCCTCCCTCCTCCTCACACCTGCCCTCCTTTTCCCTTCTCCGCCTGCTCCTCCGCCTCCCACCCACTACCAAGAAGCGCCTGTGACGTCCAGAAGCAAGTGGGAACACGTGCATCGAGCTTCAGACATTCGTCACAGTGTAAACTCAGACGGCGTTGCATTCACGTGTGTAGCAATGCATGCGATGCTAGCGAACACATGTTCAAGCGCATTGCTACGGCATCCAAAGTACACTTTCCTCTGTGGCATGCCAGGTCTGCAAAGGTCAAATGATGCAAGCCGTAGATTCTGAAATCAGGAAAACCTTGCTTTATCCATTGAAAGCGTTGTGTTGCCATATGGGAGACTTCCCTGGGCCACGCCAAGACTTATGCAAACGCAATGTTCGAGCAGTTGTGTTCATCCGCCCTTTTCTCCTCTTCATTCTCCTCCTCCTCCGTCAATTCGTTGTCTTCCGAATCGCTGCTTTGGATTGTCTTCAAAGCTAACCGGTGTCCGCACTTCATTCATATTCAATCGAATCTCCCCTCCTCTTTCCTTCGGTGTTGATTTTGTATTTAGCTGGCTGGTACTTGAATCGGATTGGATTTGTTACCTCCGTCGTCTAGACCTCATCTTCCTCCTTCTCTCCCATTTGGAAACCTGTGGCGACGGAGGGTTCTTGTAGATAACCCAAAAAACTGTGTTGTCATGTGGAAGATTCGCCTGGTGCACACAAAGCCTGTGAACACACAATGTTGTGGGCCTCTGTGGTAGCGTAACCTTGTGTTGTCACAGTGGGAACTGAGATGGAGCGTGCCAAACCTTCGAAAACACAGGGTTTGGGGCCCCAGTGTTAGCAACAACTATCTGATGTCAGCGAGTTTTTTTTGTTTGATATTTTGGTTCTGATAACACGAAGCTGTGTTTTTTTCATTGAAGTGTTTGAGATGCTCGTTTTTTTTGAGGGGAAGGGGGTGCTCACCGAAATTCCCCGTTCAGCTGGCGGGCCAGACCGACGGCAACATCAAAACACTAGATTCTAAATCAAGCCATTGGTTTCTGTCTTGCCACCATTCGGCTTTGAACAAGCATTACGTTTTTTGAGTTTCTGGCGTGGGAGAAACAAGCCACACATTTGTTGAGAGTTCTGGCGTTTGAATTTGAAGAGGCACGCGATTTTTGTTTGAGAGGTTGCCTATGTATTTGGACAAGCCTTGTGTATTTGTTTCCCCACATCATAATCTCAAGCATATTGCTTTTTGTCGGTCCGCCATTGACGAACATGGGTGTTTCTCAACTGGAAGGACAAACATACAGGTGCTTTTTCAACTGCCTATGCGCCTGACTCCTACACTGCGCAGTTTTTTGGCTGATAATTTAGCTAGGAGGTTTAAGCAAATGCGTTCGATCTCTGCATCTCTTGTTTTGTATGCGTGTGCGTGTTTTTTTGTTTCGTTCGATCTCACAATCTGTTCTATCTATACTTATTCCGACGGAAAGACCCCGCATGAAAATCATTTCGGCTAATCTGAAAATGACCTTCACTGTCGTCCTCGCGAATAGTGAGGCGCTCTCACTGTCTTCCCTGCGTCATTATTATTATCGCCCTGGCGCGTTGCCCCTGCCTCGCCCTCCTGCTGCTTGTTTTGTCACCCACCACCTCCTCTCCCGTCAATTGCAAGAGCGCGCGCGTCGATTTTCCTCGACGCCGTCGCCGCCTCGGCCAACAAGGGCGCATTCTCGAATGTCCGCGTCGCGCGGCCGTTGGGGCAACCCCGCGGGCCAGGCCGTTGGGGCAACCGCGCGAGCCGCTGGGGCGCGGGAGCACGCCGTTGTGACAACCCCTTTGGCACCGAGCTAGTCACGGCCGCGTTCAGGCGGGAGGCAGCACGAAGCCAAGCTCTGCGGCGAGCTCCTCGGCCTCATCCCTGGAGCTCTCCGTTGTCTCATCGAACTTCTCGAGTGCCTTCCGCAAGGACGCCGGCGGCCCGCGCTCCAGAAACTCCCGCGTGGGCGGCCGCAGGATCAGCATGTTCCGCTTGCGCGTGGCGCGGAAGAGCATGACGTAGAAGTGCAGCCACCACTGGTCGTCCGACATGCCCGTGCGGCCAGCGTCCTCGTCCCTCGCGCAGTCGATGGTGACGCCCTTGCGGAGCGTCTGGCCTTGCGACAGCGTGGAGGTGAGGTAGGACGCGTGCGTCAGAGTGAACCCCGAGCGGCGCACGGTGTGCGGCCCCGAGCTCTGTCACGCGAGCTCCTGCTCGCTGGGCCTGAACATCAGCCCGGAGACAAGGGTTCCCTCGTGCCCCCGATTCGGCCGAGGATGGGTTACCACCGCCGGCCCGGACGCAAGTGCCCCCCCCTGCGTCCGATTCGGTTGACGATGGGTTACCGCCGCCAGCCCGGAGACAAGTGTTTCCCCCTGCCGCTGGTTCGGCTAACGATGGGTTACCACCGCCGGCCCGGAGACAAGGGTTTCCCCCTGCCCCCGCTTCGACCGAGGATGGGTTACCACCCCCGGCCCAGACGCAAGGGTTTCCCCCTGCTGGCGTCGTCGTCCTCACCTCCTGTTCCTCCTTTTCCTCCTCACCTGATGGGTCGGGCGAATCGCCTTCTGAAGAACGCATAGGGAGGGGGCGCCCGCCTGAGACTTCCTCACATTTCACTCGCAGACGAGGCTCCCCGCTTGATATTTCCTCCATGGTCAGGCCTCGGGAGCCCCAGCGCGACGACAGTTACAGGTTTGAGGATGACCCGCTCGGATTAAGATCATGAAGTGCGGGCCCCATAGGAAGGGGGTTCCCGCCTGAGCCTTCGTCGCAATTCACTCACAGACGAGGCTCCCGCCTAATACTTCCCCGTATTCAGGTTTCAGGAACCCAAAAGTGACGACGGTTACATGTTCGAGGATAGCCCGCTCGAATCAAAACATGAGGTTCGGGCCCCATTGGGAGGGGGTTCCCGCCTGAACTTTCCTCACAGTTCACTAACAGACGAGGCTCCCGCCTGATACTGCCCCCCATATTCAGGCTTCAGGAGCCCGAAAGTGACGACAGTTACAGGTTCGAGGATGACCCGCTCAGATTAACAACGTGAAGTGCGGGCCCCCATAGGGAGGGGGTTCCCGCGTGAGCCTTCTTGACAGTTCACTCACAGACGAGGCTCCCGCCTGATATTTCCCCCGTATTCAGGCCCCAGGAGCCCAAACATGACGACAGTTACAAGTTTGAGGATGACCCGCTCGGGTTTTAAATGTGAATTGCCAGCCCCATAGGGAGGGGGTTCCCGCCCGATCCTTCCTCGCAATTCACTCACAGACGAGGTTCCCGCCTGATACTTCTCCCATCCTCAATCCTCAGGAGCCCAAAGGTGACGACAGTTTAAGGTTCGAGGATGACCCGTTCGGATGAAAATCATGAAATGCGGGCCCCATAGGGGCGGGGCTCCCGCCTGAGCCTTCGTCGCAATTCACTCACAGACGAGCTTCCCGCCTCACATTTCCCCCGTAGTCAAGCTAGCGAATGAGTGGGTGAGTGAGTGAGTGAAGGAGTGGATGGGTAATGGTGATGAGGATGATGCAGAGGATGAATGATTGGGTGAGTACATGTGTGATCGAGTGATGGTCGATTTGATCAACATGGTCGTTGTGTGACTGAGTGTGCGTGTGAGTGAGTGTGTGAGTGGTGACGATGATGCTTGTGATGGTGATGAGTGAAGGAGTGAGTGGGAGTGAACGAGTGAGTGAGTGAGTGAGTGATGGTGGTGGTGATGATGTTACTGATGTTGATGATGATGTGGTGATGGTGCTACTGATGTTGATGGTGGTATGTGTGTGTGAGTGATGGCGACGTGATGACAGAGTGAATAAGTGGTGATGATGAGTGAGTGAGTGAATGAGTAAATGATTGGGTGATGATGTAGTGTGTGTGTGTGTGTGTTCTGGCTCCTGCGCGGGGTGTCCAGAGAAAACAAGAACCCCACTTTGGATGTGGGGGTTAAGCAGGGTGTTGTTGGTCATTCCGCCACTGGGTTTGAAACCTGTGTTTTTCTGACAGCGAAAAAACCAACGACGCAATGTTTTTTTTGTTTTGCGTCAGCAGTTTTTTTTTTTTTTTTTGCCGTCGGTCTAGCCCACCCGCTGGCCGGCGGCGACGTCTGGCTGGCGCAGGGGTCGCAATTTCGGTGAGCCCCGCAAGGAAAAACACCTTCACACATCCCACTGACAACACATAGTTTCGTTACAGTAGAGACCAAGAATTTCAAACATCCCCATGGAAGCGTTTTGTTTCCGACAGCTGGGGCCCAGAACCCTCTGTTTTCACAGATTTGGTGCGCTTCACCCAGATTCCCCCATGTGAGAACAACATGTGTCGTGACCACGGATGCTCAAATCTTTGTGGTGTCACATGCTGGGTGCGCCCCAGATGAGTTCCCCATATGAATGCAAACGGTTGTCATGGGTTTGAGGTGAGAGAGGACGAGGATGATG